TCCAAAAGGGCATCTCCAATCTTCTTATGGTCAAGCTCGGACAGTGCTCTTTGGAGTTCATTTTTGGCTCCTACAAAGTTCGTTCCTTGATCCGAGCGCAGTTGTCTTACTGGACCACGTCGTCCGATAAACCTTCGGTAGGCGTTGATAAAGGAGTCTGTTTCCATTGTGTGGAGGACTTCGATGTGGATGGCGCGCGAAGCCATACACGTGAAGATCGCGCCATATCTCTTCAATTCTTTGCGACCTTGTTTAATCAGAAAGGGACCAAAGCAGTCAACTCCTGAATAGGTAAAGGGGGGTGTAGGCTGAAGCCTGTCCTTTGGTAGATCAGCCATCTTTTGTCCTTGCGTCGGACTTCGAAGCTTTCTGCACTTGATACATCTAGAGACGTGCTGAAGGATGACAGCTTTCCCTCCGACAATCCAAAAGCCGGCGGACCGAATTTCGTTCTGCGTCATACCTCGCCCTTGGTGGTAGATCCTTCCATGGAAATGACACAGGATGAGGCTTGTCACATGGCTTTCCTTTGGTATGATCAGAGGGTGCCTTTCATGGTAGGGTATATCTGCAAGGTTTAAGCGACCACCAACCCTGAGAAGTCCATCTTRGTCGAGAAAGGGGTCTAGACGATGAAGGCTGCTCTCTTTCTTCAAAGCTCGGTTACGYTCTGTAGCAGTAGCCCTGTCGACGTCTTCCATTTGTATGCTCATAGAACTAAGAACTTTCATTTCTTCTTCAAAGTGTTCTTTTTGTAGTTCTTTGATAATAATTATTTCGGCATCTTGAAGATCCTTTACTTCCACAGGTCTATGCTTCTTATGATTGGCTGTGTCAGCGGCACTCTTTGAATCCGATCGTGTTGTTGGCTTGGTTTCATCAGTGCCTTGCACTCTGTTCTTGGTCTTCAACCTTTCTTTCAGGCGAAGGCAGATCGCAATGGCCCTTTTAGCGCGGTGCCAATCCRAAAAGTAYTCGAGTCTTTTCAGAATCGACGAGAACTCCTCTACTTTCGTGGCGAAGCAGGTTTGCTTCTTTACCTCTGGGTCATCTTGCTCAGGTAGTGGTATCTGTGGARGTTCCTGGGCTGTTGCGTCAAGACTCCACAGGAACTYCGGTCCATTCCACCAGGTTTCGCACTCGAGAAGTTCTTTTGCGGAGAGTCCGCGGGATGCGTGATCAGCAGGGTTGGATTTTGTGTCGACGTACTGCCATTGCTCCGGTGTCGTTCTGTCTCGTATCTGCTGGACACGGTTGGCCACGAACGTRTGGAATCTGCGAGCATCGTTGCAGATGTATCCCAAAACGACTTGRCTGTCCGTCCAAAACAGCTCACTTRGTAAGAGGCTGCTCAACTCGCTCCGTAGTAGCGTGCTTACTTTGACGGACACCAGGGCGGCCGACAGTTCCAACCTGGGGATTGTGATGGGTTTCAGTGGAGTTACCCGGGATTTAGCCATTACGAGCGAGCAATGTACTCGGTCCTTGACGTCAATTAGCCGGAGATAGGAGCATTGGCCATATCCACCGGTGCTGGCATCASAGAAATGATGTAACTCTGCTGCTTTAATGGGCTCAAAATGAGGAGGCTTGTGGCACCTGTTAATCTTGAGCTCTGTCAGGGAGATGAGTTCTGATCTCCATCTTTCCCACTTTGGTCTTAGGTCATCAGGAAYTCGTTCATCCCACTCTACGCCATGTTGACATAGGGTTTGGAGGATTCTCTTTCCTTGCAGTATCACGGGAGAGACCATTCCAAGGGGGTCGAACACTGAGCTTACTGTAGCCAATATTCCCCTTCTTGTGAATGGTCGGTCTTTCAGTGTTATCCGGAACTGGAACGTGTCAGATTCCACGCACCATTGTACTCCTAAGGCTCGTTCTATAGATAGGTTATCTTTATCAGCGTCAAGATTCCTTTTGCCTTCTGCTCTTTCACCTTTGGGAATAGAATCGATCACTTCTTTGGAGTTGGAAACGAACTTGTGTAAACGGAATCCACCCTT